AAAAAAAAAAAAAGTAAAATGTTTGTTTGTTTTGTTTTAGTAGAAGTTTTACGGCGCTCGCAACTGCATAAGGTCATATGAGTGCCAGAAAATTAGAGGTGTTACAAGAGAGTAACAAACAAAAAAAAGAAGTAGGGGGAGATAAGGACGATAGATGTTTGATAGGAAAGAAGAAGCAAACCACACCAGAGCCCCCGCCAACCACCCACCAAAGTAAAAGCAAGAAAGATAGTTCACTGACGCACTCGGTGGGTACTATTAAACTGCCTTTCCTTTGCGTTCTTCCGTTTCCTGTTCTTCCTTCCTTTCCCCAGCCAAAAACAGGTGCACTTATTTTCAGCCTGCTAAAGGTTATGTTATGAGACCAGTTGTTTTTTTCTTCTTCTTTTCTTTCGTTCTTTTCTCAAACCGGGTGGTTCGATGGCATCACTGGTTGGTGTGAGTGGTTGGCGGGTGCTCTGGTATAGTTTTCTCCTTCTTTCATATCAGACGTGTACCGTCCAAATCTCTCTTCCTTCTTTTGTTTGCATGTTACTCTCTAGTAACACCTGACTCTAATTTTGGGCTCTCATATGACGTTATTATGTTGCACATGCTGCAAAAATGAATACTTAACACTGGTTTGTCCTACTTCTTTTCTTTCTCGCTGTCTCTGTCCATGTTTCTTGCTTTTTCTCCAACATTTAACGAGAGCGGTTGTGTTGATATGCTCCTCTTTAATTAATTCCAAGAAACAAACAAATAAACGAACAAACTAATAAACAAACGTTATTTTCTATCTTGTCTTCACTTATTGCGGGTGGTCGCGGTGGTTGGAGCGCGGCATTGATGGGTCATGTGTCTTTTTTCTGCCTTTGTGGTTTTTGTCTGCCTGTCTATTTTGCTTTTTTCCCCGCACCAAATGACCGATATCGTAACGGCGTGCTTCTCTTTACTAAAACTCCTCACCCATGCCGAATATGTGAGGGAAGGATGGGTGCTCTGGTGTGGTCTTCCCCCTTTTTTGTATGGTTCTATGTTTCTAGTGCCTGTGTGTGTTTTCTTTGCAAAACAATTGGTGTCTGAAGTGTAGTGGTTAGGTTCTTTGCTGAAGACGTGGCTCATTTCCCGAGTGGAGAAGTTTTAATCATTAAAAAAAATCAAGTACATGTATTTTCATTTGTCTGTTCGAGTGTTGTTCCCATCTCAGCTTGAGTTGTCTTGGGTAGGCAAGGTCAAAGCAGTTCGCTCCTAAACGATCTAAATCACGTCGATGGTTATGTAAAACGCGAAGAATCTTCACGGAATAGTGCCTGCATTGTGTTAACTAGATGCACACTTCCTTGTTCTTGCTTCTTCCAAGATCCCAACCACGCCCACTCTTGTTGCCAGATAAAAAATGTCATAGCTCACCCGCAAGGGGAAATGATAATAAAGCCCTTAAAAGCAAAAACCTGAAAAAAATGTTTTCCCGTGAACAGGGTGCCATGGAATGTAAACACTGATTACATATCGTATGTTATGGCTTCAACGCCCCTGTCAACACTTTGGAATTTAACAGCCTCCTGTAATAGGACTGAGCCAAAAATATTCACCCCTTCCCCTTTCTCTAACCAGCCCAGTTTAAAAAAATGGACATCGGGGATTCAAGTCAACGTTATCTACTTTGTTGTTGTAGCAGAGCAATATATCTAACTGCATATGCACCTAGATTTACGAAGGACTGACTAGTCAATTATCAATGCAGACACTTGAAGTTGAAGCTGACTCTCAGACGAAGATAGTATAATAAGTTATTACCGATTACAAGTCCCTGTTAATTTTGCGTTCTTTCTGGTTTGTATCATTAGCCGTCTTCTTCTTCTTCTTCTTCTTCTTCTTCTTCTTCTTCTTCTTCTTCTTCTTCTTCTTCTTCTTCTTCTTCTTCT